CATAAACTGTACTCCATCCCTTACCTATGATGAAAATGCCTCAATGATTCTCCCATGCATAACTTAACACAGAGTGTTAGATGGTAGCTTATGAATATTTCTCCAAACTCTTAAGAGTTTCCCCATGGATATGTCAGGCAATTCCTTGATTAACCCACAGTGTCAGAATGCTTAATGAAATATCTGGAGACTGTCCACTAATTGTCAGGAAGAATTTGTATTTCACTTTGAATAAATGAATATTATTAGACGAGCCAACAAATGTCTTGTTTTATCTAAAACTATTTGCTTCATGAGCTCAAAGAGATATTCACAATATCAGATTCATTGTAGCTTAATTCTAACTAGTTATAAAAGAAAAACAACTTAAAATATAAAATTGATATAGAAAATGTGCTACATGTAGTCCCTGGAATATCTTCCAGTCTTAAAAATTATATCCTACAATGTGTAACAACATGGATGAATCTGAACATAATGCTAAATTATAGAAAACTGTCAATGGCTAGATAGCATCCATTTAAGCCATAGCCAATAGAAAGTTTCTGAGTTTCAAAGAGTAATAGCAAGAGACATTATTAAAGTATATCCATTTTGTAAGTACCATAGTGGCTCACAACAGCCTGTGACTCCAGTTGTTAGGATAATCCGTTGATGTTTTCATCTGGAATCTATGGTCACTGCAATGCACATTATGCACATGAACACTGGTATATTTATGTGAACACACACACATACACAAACAAATTAATTGAAATAAGCAAATAAATAAGGAGAAGTAATATTATGGTTTGTATTTTGAATGCTATTGTACATTTTAAAATGAATCTTTCATCACTGTGTTTTACCTAGGGAAATTTCCATCCAGATTAACTGTCCATTATTTAAATAGTGAGTTTAACCACTACCTTTTAGAGTTCTTTTTTATTATGGACTATAACCTGTTTTCATATGTGAGAATTATTTACTCCCACACTTTAGATCAACATTCTCACTATGTGAGCCATGACCTCTTTGGGTCAGATGAAGCTTTCAAAATGGTTGCCCAAGACCAGCAGAAAATACAGATAATTACATTATGATTTATAACAGTTGCAAAAATTATGGTTATGAAATAGCAACAGAAATATTTTGATGGTTGAGGTCACCACACATGACAAAATGTGACAAGAGGTCACAGCATTAGGATGTCTGAGAACCACTGCTCCAGATTGACATTAAAATCTGTATTTTTATTATTATGAGCTTTTCATTTTTATTTAATCTCATTCACATATCTGTCCTCATAGTTCTGCACTATTTTCTATGTGTCTCTAGACTTTTCACAGGGTGGGGTATTTTTTCTATATGTGTATTTCATTGTTAGTAAAACATGGTTTTCTACTTTAATTTACATGAATCTAGACATTCTATATTCTGAGGATGGTTTTGGGAAACATTTCTAATGTAATTCCCACTATCATTGTAGGTTGTAAATCAGTGTGTTCATTCATAAAATTTAACGGCTATATCTGGTGAACAGGTTGATCTTTAGGCTCTACAATTCACATTTGCACACACATGGATAGTTATCTTCAGTCTATCATTTCATCATGATAGGCATCAATGATCATGATAAAACCATGTAAAGGTTTCTTACATAAACAGAGACATTGTGGAAGGAATACAGTAGGGGAAATGATTTTATTTGTATATACTTCTAGTTGCTGCTTAAAATTAATGTAAATTTAGTAAAACACCTTTTCAATTTATGTATATTTTAATCATATGAATGTTTGTCTTTGTGTGTGTATACACAGCATATGTGTGTCTGACAACTGCAGAGGCCAGAAGAGTGCATGGTGTCCCTGGAATGAGAGTGCCAGGGTATATGGACATTGTATAGGTTCTGGGAACTAATTCCTTGGTTCCTTCAAGATCAGTACATGCTCTTAACCTCAAACCTAGTTCTCAGCTCTGAAAAATACTGTTTAGCCACATAAGGCAAACTTGAAATAATCATTCAATATATATCAAACATAAAAAGAAACAACTGATGCCTAAAACATGAGAAAAATGCTGATCTTGACAAACTGTAATTTAAGTAGCTTGGCAAGGAATGATGTATAGTAATACATACGGGAGCAGCAACTTCTTGGTACCTATTAGTTTATCATGTGAAAGTATTATGTTTCAGATTTTGCAAACAGCAATAACATTGTAATTTTGAATGTCAAGTCAGTTATTTTACTTAGGAGAAGTAAAATTGAATGTGCTTTCGGTATATACTTTAGTAGTCAACAACATACTTTTGTTCTTTTTCTGAATTTTTACATTTATGATGATTTATCTGTTTTATACTCATTTGATTTCATTACTACTTCGTATTCTCAAAAATACAGGAAATGAAACATCCATTTACATATCTGAAAAATTCTCTTAAGAATGATTATACAGACATTTTCCGAGATACTTACTGGACTGAAGCCTACCAGCCGTGACTTTTGTATGAGATCAGACTTATTTTTGATACTAATTTCCAATATTTTGCAGTTAATCACTAACTCTGATTCAGTACTTTCTTATCTGTGTAACTTAATAATGTATAGCTACATTGTTAAAACACTATCCTAATACTGCATGTTTTGTTTTTACAGAAATTGTTGGTTTTTCCAATATTTTATATATTGTTTCATATTGATTTTTACAGTACTTATTAAACAGGTAGATTTGGGGCAATGTATTTATTACAGGTATTGTTTGAGCGAATAAACAATATTCTGTAGCAAATAAAAATTATAGTTACCTGCAGAAATTAAGTTGCTGAAGTATCTTATTGTTGTTGAGACAGGGTTTATGTAACCCCGGGTGTTGTGGAACTCACTATGTAAATCAGGCCAGACTAAACTCACAGAGATCTGCATGCCTCTCTTAAGTTCTGACATTAAAGGCAAATGTCACTATGTTCAATTTTAAAAAATTAAAAAATATACTCATTTATATATTTTGATGTGCTCACTAAAACCAATACTACAATTCATTTTTTTCTGTTCCCCATACTTTTCTCAAAATTGCAATATTTTATTATATACAGGATGAATAAACAGCTAAATAGGGTTATGTAATATTGCAGGGCTAAATACAACATCAACCATAAATATTTTGGCAGTTTATCCATATCTATATATGGTATATATTTTATATTGTTTTATATATGTAACAATATGTGATATAAATAACATTAGTTTTAAAAGAAGGCATGAACATTAAAGAGCAAGAAGGGGCATATGAGAGGTTTGGAGTGGAGAAAATGATTGTGGAAATGATGTAATTATATTATAATCTCAAAGATATATAATTAGAAGAAGAGATATGAAGTAAAAGGTGATGTGGCGTGAGGATATGGGAGATGAAGGAAGGGAGTGAGATGTAGATATGATCATATAATAAAAATATAAATAAATACAACCTATGTTCTTTTATTATTTCAATAAATTGTTTCTCCAATGTATGTGACTAAAATGAGTTTATTGAATGAATGATTGCAAACTAACGAAAGACATCAATATGACCATGATGAAAGCAAAATACCAAATTATAAATATTAAACATTGTATAATAAGTTGTAGTAACACAGAGGGGGTGACATAATGGATGGTGAGTATGTAGAAGACGGGATAAGTTTGTTAATGAATATCTAGTCTACCCCACTCTCGTTAGAAAAAGCATAGCTCAAAATGAAAAAGTGCTTCTGTTAGCTTCATTCAGTCTAATTATCAAATAAAACCCAATGAGAAAATAGAATGAAGTTTGAAGATGAGCCGCAACATGTCAGACTTAAGAAAAGCAACAGATATATTAGTAAGAGGCATCTTATGAAAGAACTGAATGACAAAAAGACTGTGAGTTTTAGGTAAAAATCATCTGAATTTAATGAAGTCAAGTAAAAATATTGCTAAAAAGTCAATAAGCATCAAGTTAAAGCTGGTGCAAAATCATATTCAGTCCTAAAGCAGAACACAAGTACATTAGATAAACATAGTAACTGGTAGATTCACTTCTGCACAGACACACCATGAGTTACTCAAGGACTGATGTTGCAGTATCTCTCAGTTGTTGAATAGCCAAATATGTAGGGTGCGCAGTTTCATATATGAAAGACAGACACTTGAAGAAACAGGGAATGCCCTTAGATTTATCATAGGGAAGGAGTACTTGAACATTTTTTCATGAATAACTCTACTAATGAAATGCAATTAGTAATTCTGAGGTCATAATAAAATTTGGTCTTAAGATATACATATATATGAACTGCAGCCTAAAGCAGAAAGTCTGCACTTACACAAAGCAGAAACAAAAATGTGAGCACATAATGAAACCTGCAAATTTCACTGTAATGATAAAAATGTCACAAACAATTCAAGGTTACTTTGGTTTTCCAAAGTATCAAGGGACTCAGTAACACATATTTGTCTTCAATTGACCATCAACCCAAAATTACTCTCTACAGACTGTACTCAGGTACTACCCATCCCAAGTATACACAGGGACTTTGGACTCCCATAGAACAATGTGAGGTGCACTCTCACCCTGAACTCTTGGGGAAGGGTCTAGGCCCTGCCCTATATGAAATGACAGACTATGCACACCCCCATGGAGGGCCTCACCCTCCCTGGGGAAATGAGGGGATAACGGGGGGGGGGGAATGGAGGGAGGGCACGGGATGAGGGAAAGGAATGGGAGAGGGACCTGGAACTGACTTGTGAAGCAACCTCGTTTCTTATCTAAATTTAAACTGGAAAATAAAAGGAAAAAAAAAAAAAGAAAATATTACTTTCCCTGAGGGAAACCAAAGACATTTTTCCTTTCTTCCCAATATAGTTGTAATAAATAAAGTTGGATTACTACCAGGATTCAAGTAGATAAAATATATATTGAGCTTATTCATCATGTCTGCTCTGAAGAAAACAGAGTAGATTTACATTCAAAGCAGATTTTATGGCTATTGCTGTATACAACTCTTAAGAAAAGATATTGACTATCTTTTTCCAGGATCTTTTTATGCCATCTTTTACATCTTTATTCCTCAAGCTATAGATCAAGGGATTCAACATAGGGATAACGAGAGTGTAAAATATGGAAGACACTTTATCGGTCTCAAATGATTGACTGGATTTGGGCTGCACATACATAAATATCAAAGTCCCATAAAAGACAGTTACCACAGTCAAGTGGGCTCCACAGGTTGAAAAAGCCTTTTTCCTTCCCTCAGGAGATTTTATCCTCAGAATGGCTATGAAGATGAGCAGGTAAGACACAAGGACAACCAGAAGAGAGGAAATCAAATCAAAAGTTGCAAAAAACCTAATTATCAATTCAATCTCAAGTGTGTTTGAACAGAGCAAAGATATCAATGGGATACAATCACAGAAAAAATGATTAATGACATTGTAGCCACAAAAGGATAAAGTGAATATCCTTAGCGTGACTATTAGAGACACAAATACACTGTAGAGATATGGGATTGCCACTAGTATCCAACATGTTCTTTGTGACATGATAGCCATGTAGAGCAGAGGGTTACATATAGCCACACAGCGGTCATAGGACATAGCAGAGAGAATAAAAAGTTCACAAGTAATAAAAAGAAGAAAGCAGGCTAGCTGTGTAGCACAAAGATAATAGGAGACTGAATTTTGCTCTGCAATAAAATTCACTAACATTTTGGGTGCCACAGCTGTAGAATATCCAAGATCAGTAAGAGCCAGATGTCTTAGAAAAAAGTACATGGGTGTTTGAAGCCTAGAGTCCACCTTTGTAAGGATGATAATGCCCAAATTACCCATTGAAGAGATCAGGTAGATAATGAGCAGCAATCCAAATAGTGGAGTCTGCAATTCAGGAAGGTCAGTGATGCCTTTCAGAATGAATTCATTCAGCACTGTGAGATTTGTGTTCTCCATGCAGGTGTGTTTCAAATTATCTTCGGAATGAAAAGGAAATTCTGTAGACAAAGACTTGAGACATTTTTACCCTCAAACTATTTACTAAGCAAATCTCTTCTAAATTGTGATATATTAAAAGTTTAATGTGGAACATTTTGGAATAAATGCACATCCTGTATACGTACAGTAAAGTATAAATGACAGAGACAACTTTGTTTCTCATATAAATCATTTCTCTAATTAAAATCATTCAGTGACTCTGATATTTGATTCTTATAAATTTGGAGGTTAAATATCACGGGCAATGAATTCTTCAAAAACTGTCTAACCTTAAACATACCATACCATATCCAATTTCCAGTCACAAGTAATATCCATTGTTCTTTAACTAAGAATTCAAAAACGGAAGGAGAAATTGAGGAAGAAAAAAAGGAGGAAATAAAGAAGGAGGAACAATGGAAATCAGAAGGAAGCAAAGAAGATATAAGGGAAGGAGGAAAGGTGGATGATACAAAGACAAAGAACAGAAAGAAGAAAGGGAAGAAGGAAGGATTGAGATGGCAGACTGGTATTTGAGGCAGGTAGAAAAGATAACATGATGGAGATGCAGATGTAGATTTTACAAATCCATAAAATAATTTAAAAAAATATTAGACTCTCATATTTTTACACAATCATGAAATATTAGCAGTCAATATATCCAATGTCACACAGTAGATTACAATTTCAGTCTGTGATTTTTTCATGCCAAATTGTGAAAATGAATATTTAAATCATCATTTCAAAGCACAGTTCTTATAACTACAGATGTTACACATTCTAAACACTTGTAAATTCTGAACATATATGAAAATTTAAAATATTGCAACAGAAAATAATTGAAACTGTCTTTATAAATAAACAAAAAGTAACTCTATTCCTGTAAATAGAGTGCACAGCATGGTATTCAATATGGGAAATACACAATGGTTGCCTTGCACAAGCTATATATGGCTACAACTCTTTGCCTGAATTGGAAGCAACGAAGTCCTTATCATGTTGCAAAGATGAAGAAAGATGAAAGGATTCTGCTATTCAATGGTATTAAGATATAGAGATTTTTGTACGTGTTTGCATATAACTTGGAATTATACCTGGGGCATTCATTATGCCAGGCAAGAGCTCTACTACTGAACATTATGATTTGCTTAGAATTGTTTTGAGCTAAGAACTCACCATGTAGTCCTGGTTTACCGTTTTGCTTCTGCCTTTAGAATTATATAGTATTTACTCTTTAGTCCCAGATAAACTTCCAGGAAATAGTTTATTTATGTGTGCATTCTTCTGTAGAAGGAATTAAAGTCTATTACTGTGATAAAGTGATGGATAAATGAGGAAGTTCTAATTAAGACATAGACATTCAGATTTTCCCAGAGCATTCCCCTCTGATTCTCACTGTTTTAATAAAATCAGAAAAGCAAAACTTTGTTGTTTTTGTATTGCTGTTCTTATATTTATGATTTTAATTGTATTTTAAAGTTGCTTATATTTGTATAAATTTAGTAGAACTATTATGTTTCCACTGTGGACTTTTCCATTGCAACAGAAATGTATGTATCTCTATACAACAAATTTCATCAAATATATTCTTCTCAAATATACTTGAGAAGACTGAGGAAAAGAGGTTATTTAAGTTGGTTTTATGAAATTAAGTCTCATAGAATGTTCTTTGGACAAATTTATTAATACATGTTAGAAACTACATAGGTTGAATATTTTATGAGAAATTTCATGAATTTCTACAGTGTTTACCATGGTTGTTAAATAGTAAAATACCACAGAAAATGAATGAAATATATCAATTATATACATATAATTTTATATATGTGTGCATTATCACAAGAATTCTTTCCAAATATATTACAGCACACTATATATATGCAAGCATATGATCAAATAAAACAATACTCAATGATTAGTAACATGGAAATTAGGCAGTATAGCACAGCAGCAGATAATTAGCTTTAGGCTAAGATAATTAAAGACTACTAACTGTGAGCAGCAATTTTCAAAAAAAGTTAAGAAATAAAAGAAGCACAAATTATAGTAAAAGCTATAGTAACCAAAATCAGCATGTCTACTTTATACAAATAAATTAGATCATACAAGTTTAACATATATTAATATGTTTAGTGTATGTTCATACAATACATAATCAGAGAGATAGATAGATAGACAGACAGACAGACAGATAGATAGATAGATTAGTATATCACAGGAAAATGGTTTTACCTCAAATAAAACATTATTTGTATAATTTATGTGATATGATAGTCATTCCATATCTCTTTCAAACAACTTTCTTATATTAATTATGATAAAACATGTTGCTCTTTCAAGATTTGTTGGCATTTTAGAGAGGCAGTTATGTATTACTATGCTTTGTAAAATTCAGTCACCTTCCACAGCACAGTTTGACTGTCACCATTAAAGTGGTGCAAAAAAGTGACCTGAAAATACAAAAAAGTTTTCAATATCCCCTTGAGAAACAGAAATTCTGTTTGGCTTACAAGAAAATGATAGCAAATTTCTTTTATCTTTTTACTAACATAACAAGAAGAGTCTGAGTCACTTAGATATCTAAAATCAAAATATATAATTTCAGTTTTCTATCCAAAATATTAATTACTAATTACTCAACTTTCACTTCCACTTACTTTTAAAATCTGTAGATAAAATATAGTTCTCCAATATGCACTTTCTAAGCACTTATGCACAATTTAAATATTTAATCTTTAAATGTTGGTGAATAAATTAGAGGAATGAAAGAATCCTCAGGCATTGTGGTGAAATAAGAATGGATCACAGAAAAGGAACTAGAACGAAAATCTTTTCTTAGATTCAAAATCCAGAGCACATGTGACCACTGCTGTAAATAATTATTTACACAGATTATCTCATCAAACCTTCCACTTTTTTAATTGAATGAAAACCACCTCTTTATTGTACGATGCATTTCTTATAACTGTATTTTTAGGACAATTTATAGATTTGTATTTAATTTCAGATACCCTCCCTGTGGGGTTGTAAGCAATTTGATGACTATCCCTGAAGAATTTGAATATTTAATGAATTGCCTTGAGGTTGTGCACACAGAGATTTATTGTAGATTTATTTATTAAAGAACCACCATAAAATTACTTGCTTTTTTTTAATTTTGGAATTGAATGGGCAAGATCACTAGTTATATAAATCTGCTTGCTAGACAAGCCTAAAACTGTGAGTTCAATAGCTAGAAGCAGTGATTGAAAGAGAAAAATTACTTCTAAAAAATCATCCTTTGCTCTCTCTCATACAACTTTAAAACGTCAAGCAATGCTATTATTACCTAAAATATCTCTTGGCAGAAGAGACATTGGACTTTTTACTTTGACAGAAATGAGATTGTAGGTGGAGATTTCCTGTACTGATTGCCTACTCCTAAATTACTAACATGGAAATTTTATATTACTTATAAATGCTCATCTAGTAGCTCAGGCTTGTTACTAAGTAACTCTTACTTAATCTATGTGTTGCCTCAGGACTCATGGCTTTTACCTCTAGCCCATTATGTGTGTCTGGCTTGTTCTGTATCTGACTAGAGAATCCAGACTCTACCCTTCTCCTTCAGAGCATTCTCATTTTGGTTTTCCAGCCTAACCTTTTTCTGTTCAGCTATTGGCTAGTAAGCTTGCTTATTAAACCAAACACAGTGACATAACTTTGCAGTGTACAAAGGAATTATCCCACAGCATTCCCCCCTTTCCTTCTAATAAAAAGGGATGATTTAACATAATGATATTATATTCAATAAAAAGTTATCAAGTAAGAATAACAATTATAATATGTAGGATATTTGTCTTTTGTAAAATTAAAGAAAATATTTTATTATATTATACCTTTATGACTCTAAAGTTTTGTACTTAATTTACCTTTTATCATAGCTAAGGAAAACTGTAACTTTACCTATTCAGTCTTAAACTCCATCAAAGACCTTAGAGGTATAAAATGTTGCTTAATGATATGGGTCTCAGGTTGCCTGGACATGCACCCAAAGTACCTCTGCAGCTTTGGGGCATCCAACTCTGGCCTACAGGCTTAGCATATCTGACAAACTTTACTTTGGATTGGGGAATTTTGAAGGACTGTCATATCTTTTCTCGGCAAAGTTTGACAGTCAACTTTCTTGCATCCTGCTGGTCCTGTTTGGACAGTAACTGCCAGCAGTGGAAGCAAGAGCAGTTTCTTTCCCCACGTGTCTACTTTTTGCCACAAAAGGGCAAACTCTATAACCAGTTGCTTCCATGTCTATCATCTTCTCTGAAGTAGATTGGTGCTGCCAGGAACAGGCATATCTAACATTCATGAAAAGTCTTAGGTTATTAAAAAAAAGCTATATTTCACAGGTCTTTGAAGTGTTTGAAGATCATATATCTATCTAAATATATCTGTTTAGGACCTTGAAATCATATCTAACATGACTATAAGTTTGACTATTATAGATGTCTCTTAATCTGTATTTTAATTGTATCACTGATTTATAAATGAGATGTATGAATATAATATCTTAAACAAGAGTAGAAGCATACATACTGTATTAAAAATAAAATTTAAAAATTTTCAGTATATAAAAATCAATACCAATGTAAAATATTTAAGACTAGTAGCTGATTTTTTGTTTTAAAACTAGATACAATAATCTATCCTTTAGGATATCATTTCTATAACCTCCTTTTCTCTTTTTACTAAGTGATCCATGAATCTAATCTCCTTTGTTTAGTTTTTTCCTGACCATTACCAATAACAACTTCTACCCAATCATCCTTATATGATAACAAATATCCATAACCCAGCTTTTGCGAATGTGGCCATAGTTCTCTGGACTTTTTCCTGTTATTTGTGGACATTTTTATATTTGGGGACCCTGAGAAAATCTAGGATTATGTTCAAGTCCTGAATGAAGTACTCTGTGAGTATGTAACAGCTCAACCAGCAGCCTT